AGGATGAGTGTGTAGCTTAAAAATAAGTCTGCCGAAAGGCATCCAAAACATTAATTCAAAAGTTTTCTTTGAGGTGCTGCTGTGACGTAACTGGTGATAGCGAAGGTTGCTTATATTAATTACCCCACCACATACGTTACAGCAAAACTTTGCTTCCTGTGTATGTGTCTTATTAATTCTTATTATTATATACTAAAGGAAGTAAAAAATTGTCATGTGGAGTATTTTTATCCTAAGGATAACAAATGGAGAAACTGTACACCCCTGAGGAACGGTCTGATGCTAGAGTAAAGAAGTGTATGTTTTTATTTATTTTTTAATCCAGGTCGGTCAAGTTGTTTTCTTTAATGGGCCCCAGGGTTGATGGGGCCCCTAGTCTTAATGGGCCCTTAATCTTAATGGACCCCAGTTTTAATGGGCACTCAAATAACCTAACACACAAATATTACATTTTAAGTCCATTACAAATAATAAACACACGAAATCTTGAGTATATCTCTCCTCTAGTCACAGCCTGGCATTTGATATTATTAACATAATATGTACCGGGAACTTGATATCTCTTCTCTCCCAAGCTCAAGCTCAAGTCATCCTCCTCTCATCCTCTTCAACATACACACACACACTTAAAATAAAAAAATATATGTATTACCTATCCCAACATACTGAAAGAAAGAGGCTGCTGGCTGTAGTTTAGTTTTGTTACTGTTTGAAGAAGCAACGGAAGCACCACCACCACCACCACCACCACTATGTATATTACCAGATATCACCACACCACTAAAAATAAAACTGACACTAGTTAGTATTACATTAGTATATGAAAATGGCGGCTGCACGTGTGGAGCTCTCTCATAACGAGGAGGAGAAGGAGGAGGGAGGAAGAGGAATGTAAATCTTATCCGAACTACCTGCTAGACTACATACATTTCCTCTGGCAGTCACAAGAGTTATGTGATGTAGAAATATTATTAGCTGATGGATCAGTTGTGAAGGTGAGTAAGTGAAACATTTATCTGTAAGTGAAGAAACATTTACTCCTACCTACATATCTTTCTCTGCCTGCCCTCCATCACCCACCCACCATTTACACACATATAGGGGGAGGGAAACTTAACTACACTGCCCACACTCACCGTCCGTTTAGGAGAAGTCGGTTAACAAAGTATATCCAGTACAGTAGAAGAAATTTCCCTGTTCCCCCAACTTCCCTTCTTCTCCGACACAAATAAAGAGTTGCTTATCCAACTTTTTTCGCACGAGAGAATCAATGTTTCCAAGCAGTGATTTGATTTGGGCGGCTTGCTTCCTAGCAGTGGTTTGATTTGGGCGGCTTGCTTTCTAGCAGTGTTTGGTAAGGAAGAATGGAAATAAGAATAAAATATATTAATAATTCCTAAATATTTTTATAATAATCCTTTATAATAAGTTTTAATCTAAAACCTGAGGATAAAAAGTGGAGAAACTGTACACCACTCCCAGAGGAACGGTCTAATGATGCTTTAGTAGTCTCAATTTGACTCGAAACCTTGAGTCTATCCCTCCTCCTAATCACAGCCTATTAACATAAAATGTACCGGGAACTTGATATATTAATGCTAGAGCAGTCTCAATTTACTCTCTTCTCTCCCAAGCTGACAACTGGTTAGGTTAGTCTTACATTAGTATCTGAAGATGGCGGCTGCACGAGTGGAGGAGCTCTCTCATCACGAGGAGGAGGAGGAGGAGGAGGAGGAGGAGGAATGTAAATCTTATCCTAACTACCTACTAGACGATATACATTTCCTCTGGCAGTCAGAAAAGTTATGTGATGTAGAAATATTATTAGCTGATGGATCAGTTGTGAAGGTGAGTGAGTGAAACATTTATCTGTGAGTGAAGAAACATTTCTCTGCCTGCCCTCCATCACCCACCCATCATTTACACACCATATCGGGGGAGGGAAACTTAACTACACCGCCCACACTCACCCTCCATTCCTTATTGCCGCCCAGGAGAAGTCAGTGGAACATGATTAACAAAGTCTATCCAGTGCAGTGGAAGAAATTTCCCTGCTCTCCCCTAACTTCCTTTCTCCCCCGACACAAATAAAGAGCTGTTTATCCAACTTTCTTCGCACGATAGAATCAATGTTTCCTAGCAGTACTTTGATTTGGGCTTGCTTCCTAGCAGTGGTTTGATTTTGGTTTGCTTCCAAGTAATGGTTTGATTTTGTTGTCCGTCCGTCCATAATTCTCTCACTTTTATGTAACTTCACAAAACCTATGCTATGACAACGACTCTTCACCCAGACTTTTACGTCCCCTTAATGTATGTATAAAGGCAGTATGAACGAACGAACAAACTTGAAAAAATAAACGATGGGGATTACATTTTATTCCACAGGCTCACCGTGTAATACTGTCAGTGGGAAGCGACTATTTTAAGACCATGTTTACGTGTGGATTTGCTGAGAAAACAACACAGTCAATAGAAATGAAGTTTATGAAACCCAATATATTACAACTGCTCGTCGACTTCATATATACTGGTAAGGGAAAATATTTTAAGTTTTCATAGTGCTATGCTGCTATCTATATGTAAAATTTAGATTTTGTTGCAAATGAATAAATGAAATTTTTTTTTCTTTTTTTGTAAAAAACTTTAGGAAACATCGAGATAACAGTGGAAAATGCACAGGAGTTAGAAATAGTTCAGAGTGAATTTTGTACTTTGATTGATCGAATCCCATTCTAGAGGATGTGTTCCTTTTTTTTTTTTTTTTGCTAAGGCTTGCTGCTGAGGCCCATTATTTAGTAAGCTTGTTGAATGGTTCGCGGGACTTCATCTTCTCCAATTTCGTAGAAGTGACAATGGAGCAAGAGTTTCTTGAGATTCCTAAAGATCTCTACTATATTTTTTGGATTCGGAGTATCTTCATATTGACTCTGAGTTTCAGGTAAATATTAGATATTTTTCTTTTTATTTAATATTTATTTATCAATTTCAAAAATCTAATTTTTTTTGTGGTTTATTGCAGCTAGCTCACTTTCTTTTTCTTTTGTTATATTGCAGGTATTCTCTGCTGCCATCAGATGGATTACACAAGAAATAACTGATAGACTTTGTTGGATTCTTGACATTCTAAAACGAGTGAAATTATCTTTAATTTCAAGTAAACTAATAGAAAAATCAATTAATGAGTGCTCTGACATCAGATTGAAAGTTAACCTTAAACAGCAGATAAACTTGGCTAAAGAGGAAGCCTCCTTTTATGTCCAGCCAAGAATTTGTAATCGAAAGAAAATTTATGTCATAGGTGGATCAAGGAAAGAATTCAATATAATATTGAATAGATCAGAGGAATATCTACTTAAAAGTATCGAATGTTTTGATACCTTTAGGCAGAAATGGCAAAAAGTTTGTCCTATGAAAATTGGGAGAATTTCACCAGGAATAGAAGTCTTACATGGAAAAATTTTCGTGGTTGGAGGGGTTGGAGAGATAGACGCTCAGATTTTGGCGGATGGCGAAGTTTATGATCCACAGGAAGATTATTGGACTGGAATATCTTCTATGGTAATCCCACGGTGTGATTTTGGATTATGCGCTTATGGTGGTTATCTCTATGCCTTCGGTGGTTGGACGGATTCAATGGAAATAGGAAAAAATATTGAAAGATATGACCCTATTACAGATGAGTGGAGATTATTAGAGTCAAATATGCCAGAAGCTAGATCAAAGTAAGTACAATAACCAGTACAATAACAATTTTGATTTACTGATAGTGTGAATTACTAATAATAATAATGAGAAAATGTCGCAGTAACCTGTACTGTTTTTTTTCCTTTTTTTTTCTTTTTATAGCATGGGTATAGTAGAACATCGAGGTCTTATTTACATTATTGGTGGATATACGGACACTTACAATCCCCTGCATGATTTTCTCTCATACAATCCTGTAACTGGAGAGTGGAAGAATCTAACACCAATGCAAGGTCCACCGTCTAAGACGATAGGCGTTGCAGTTTTAGATAATTTTTTGTACGTAGTAGGTGATGGTATTCTGGATGAAAATTCAATGAAAAGATATTCTTTTGAGCAGGTAAGATTATTTACCAGTACTTAAAGTTTAATATTGTAACCAGGAAGTGGAAGAATTTTTGTAATACTTTAGGAACAAAGGGAAAAAATTGTATACCCCCCTCCCGCCCCCTTACTCTTGTTTTAACCTTTTTCTTTTACTTTCCCACAGAACCAATGGTTTAAGTGTTCGTCTTCAGAGTATTTGGGTCGAAGTAGGCCAGCAGTTGTTGTCACAAATTCTCTGTTATATGTCATAGGCGGTTACTGGAGTTGTTTGAATGGAATTGGAATGGTAAGGAAAGAAGAATAAAAGAATGATTAATATAAAATGATAAATATTGATAATAATATTTATAACTTTTTTTTTTCTTTTTAGATTTCTCTCGCTAATGTGGAGTATTTCGACCCTAAGAATAACAAGTGGATAAGCTGTACACCACTCCCTGAAAGTCGGACTAATGCTATAGCAGTCTCAATTTGACTACTCGAAACTTTGAAAACCTATATACTGATGTCCTCCTCCTCCTCCTCCTCCTCCTTCATCCTCACTCATTCTTATTTTAGTAAATAAAAAGCAAATAAATGTATAGTTTTTTACTACCCTATATGATATAAAATTGTATTATTCTTTGTAAACTCTACCCAATTGGGATTTCCTTACTCCCTCCATAACTCCCTCCCTGTCTTCAGGAGGTAGTAAAAAAAAAAATCCAGCCAGTAAAGTTTTTACAACCTATCCCAACATACTGCCAACTACCTGCTAGGTCACATTGCAAATTAGCCAATCGAGAAAACAAAAATACTCAGTTTTTCACATATATATGGTTTTGCGGTCTTGCAGTATGTAATAAAAAATAATTTTAATAGTGTTTATTTGGTTCGGTTAAAATAATAACAATGTGCAAAAAGAAATTAAATCTTTTCCATTCCATACATTAAAGGAAATTTGAACATTTCATCCGGAATACTTTATTTTTTTTCAAAAAGACCATTAAATCTTTTCCAAGACGCAATACCAAATGGAGTGTAGATTCCTTCTGGATATTGTATTCCTTCTGGATATTGTAGTCAGAAAGAGTGCGAAATCCAACTGCTGGTAATAGTAATAATTTTTCAATGGTATCTGAAGGTTCTACTTCTAGGTTAATGGTTTTTCCTGTAAGGGTTTCAGGTCTACATTTGCTTTGGCTTACGCGTTACAGATATACTTTCTAAACTGAATACGTTTATTGCTTTTACACACACATACACACTTCTAAGGATCAATATCTGCTGGTCTGGGGGGATGCCTTCCTTATCCTGAATTTTTGCCTTGACATTTTCAATGGTGTCTGAAGGTTTTACTTCTAGAGTAATGGTCTTTCCTGTAAGGGTTTTCACATAGATCTGCATTCCTCCTCTAAGTTGGAGTGTAGATTCCTTCTGGATATTGTAGTCAGAAAGAGTTCGACAATCCTCCTCCAACTGCTTACCAGCAAAGATCAATCTCTGATCTGGGGGGATGCCTTCCTTATCCTGAATTTTTGCCTTTACATTTTCAATGGTGTCTGAAGGTTCTACTTCTAGGGTAATGGTCTTTCCTGTAAGGGTTTTCACAAAGATCTGCATTCCTCCTCTAATAAGACGCAGTGTAGATTCCTTCTGGATATTGTAGTCAGAAAGAATGCGACAATTCTCCAACCGCTTACCAGCAAAGATCAATCTCTGTTGGTCTGGGGGGATGTCTAGCTTATCCTGAATTTTTGCCTTTACATTTTCAATGGTGTCTGAAGGTTCTACTTCAAGAGTAATAGTCTTCCCAGTGAGGGTTTTCACGAAGATCTGCATGATGTACTGCAAAGAAAACAATTCATTAGTAAAATTTTAGCCACAGTATAATTCTTAAATAATCTTAAATTTAAATATCTTGAGCATGTTATAGTAGGTAGCAAGGCAACCATTATATACTGAGATTACTACACACCAATATTTTGGGCACATACTGTACAGGTAAATCTTGGCTTAACCAAAGTAACTACATGCCCCCCCCCCCCCACACACACACACACACACACACACACACACACACAATAACACATGTACTCCACAGATGTTCATTTGCAGTCTATCTTCGGTGTAACCTAGCTATGCATATACAAACATAGTATAATAAAATTAAATATTTGCCTCGCAATTATTGGCTTTAGGCAGAAATGGCAGAAAGTTGCCCCATGAAAATTGAGAGATGTGGGCCAGGAGTAGCAGTCTTACATATAGAAATTGAACCGGCAGATGATGAACTTTATAATCCTGATCTGCTTTTGGCAAATGGTGATGTTTATTATTCTCAGGAAGATAATTGGACCGGGATATCTTCTATGGTGCTCCCACGGTGTGATTTTGGATTATGCGCTAATGGAGGTTACCTCAATGCCTTTGGTGGTTTGACTGTCTTGGGAGTGTGGCTGTAGTTTAGTTTTGTTACTGTTTAAAGAAGCAACGGAAGAACCACCACCACCACCACCACGGGTATTACCAGATATCACCACACCACTAAAAACAAAACTGACAACTGGTTAGTCTTATATTAGTATCTGAAGATAGAGGCTGCACGTGTGGAGCTCTCTCATCACGAGGAGGAGGAGGAGGAGGAGGAGGAGGAATGTACATCTTATCCTAACTACCTGCTAGACGACATACATTTCCTCTGGCAGTCACAAGAGTTATATGACGTAGAAATATTATTAGCTGATGGATCAGTTGTGAAGGTGAGTGAGTGAAACATTTACCTGTGAGTGAAGAAACATTTACCTCCTACCTACAAATCTTTCTCTGCCCTCCATCACCCAAATATTAAAAAAAAAAAAAACTAATGGGGATTACATTTTATTCCACAGGCTCACCATGTAATACTGTCATCGGGAAGCGAATATTTTAAGGCAATGTTTACGTGTGGATTAGCCGAGAAAACAACACAGTCAATAGAAATGAAGTCTATGAAACCCAATATATTAAAACTGCTCATCGACTTCATATATACTGGTAAGGGAAAACATTTTAAGTTTTCATAGTGCTATGCTATATGTAAAACAAAAAGATAGTTTTTATTTGTTGTAAATAATTAATGAATGAAACTTTTTATTTTTTTTTAAATACTTTAGGAAACATCGAGTTAACAGTGGAAAACGTACAGGAGTTAATTGCGGCTGCAAACATGCTGATAATGCTCCGTGCTGTACTTGTTTGTACAGACTTTCTCAAGAGCGAACTTCATCCATCTAATGCTTTAGGAATTTACCGGTACGTACAGTATAATAATTAATTATTTTCAACTGTTTATATAATATGTATTTTTATCTGCACCAATTCCATATTTAATTTTTTTAAAAACAGGTTTGCTGAGGCCCATAATTTAGTAAGGTTGCTGCATTCTTCACGGGACTTCATCTTCTCCAATTTCGTAAAAGTGACAATGGAGCAAGAATTTCTTGAGATTCCGAAAGAAATTCTACTGTATTTTCTTGACTCAGAGTATATTCATATTGACTCTGAGTTTCAGGTAAAATTTAAATACAATTTTTTTTATATAATATTACCCACTTGTTTACCGACTGACTGACGGACGACTTTTATTTAATATATTATTTACAAAAGACTTTAACCCCAAACTATCAAATTTATCTTTCTTTCTAATTCTATTTATTGTATTGCAGGTATTCTCTGCTGCCATCAGATGGATTAAACAAGCACAAGATATAACTAATAGACATTGTTGTTGGAATTTTGACATTTTAAAACGAGTAAAATTGTCTTTAATTCCAAGTAAACTAATAGAAAAATCAATTAATGAGTGCTCTCATATCAATCTGAAAGTTTTCCTTAAAAACATACAGCAAAAATTTTTGGACAAAAGGGAAGCTTTGTATGTCCAGCCAAGAATTTGTACTCGAAAGAAAATTTATGTCCTAGGTGGAACAAAGAGAGAACTCTGTGTCCACATGTATAGATCAGATAGGTTTACATTTAAAAGTGTCGAATGTTTTGATATCTTTAGGCAGAAATGGCAGAAAGTTTGCCCCATGAAAATTGAGAGATGTGGGCCAGGAGTAGCAGTCTTACATGGGAAAATTTTCGTTGTTGGAGGGGAGATAGAAATTCAACCGGCAAATGATGAACTTTATGATCCGCCTGCTTTATTGGCAAATGGTGATGTTTATGATCCTCAGGAAGATAATTGGACCGGGATATCTTCTATGGTGATCCCACGGAGTGATTTTGGATTATGCGCTCATGGAGGTTATCTCTATGCCTTTGGTGGTTTGACTGTCTTTGGTTGTTGGACGGGATCAGTCTGGAGGAGATCGGTCATATCCCAAACGATTGAAAGATATGACCCTATTGCAGATGAGTAAAGATTATTAGAGTCAAATATGCCAGAAGCTAGATCCAAGTAAGTACAATAACCATTTTCAAATTGGATTTACTGACTGATAGTGTGAACTACTGATAATGAGAGAGAAAATGTAGCAGTGGCCTGTACTGTTTTTTTTTTTCTTTTCTTTTCTTTTACAGCATGGGTACAGTAGAATATCAAGGTCTTATTTACATTGGTGGTGGACATACGTACACTCACAAGCCCCTGCGTGATCTTCTCTCATACAATCCTGTGACTGGGGAGTGGAAGAATCTAGCACCAATGATAGGTCGACCACACCCCCACAGGATAAGGTTGTACGACATGATGAGTGTTGCAGTTTTGGATAACTTTTTTATGTAGTAGGTGGTTTTTCAGGAGGAAAAATCAATGGAAAGATATTCTTTTGAACAGGTAAGATTATTTACCAGTGCTGTGCTTATGAATTCTTATTATTATATACAACAAGATTTGAATTACAATATTGTAGCTAGGATGTGGAAGAATTTTTGTAATACTGTAGTGAAAAGGGAGTAAAAAATTGTATAACCTCCCTCCTCCCCCCTTCCTTTTACCTTTCTTCTTTTACTTTCCCACAGAACAAATGGTTTAAGTGTTCATCAATGTATTTTGGTCGAAATATCCCAGCAGTTGTTGCCACAAATTCTCTGTTATATGTCATAGGTGGTTACGGTTATCATAACTTGGTAAGGAAGAATGGAAATAGAAGAATGAAATATATTAATATTCCTACATATCTTTATAATCAGTTTTAACCTAAAACCTAAACTATTTTTTTTTTTTTTTTTTTTAGATGTCTGTCGCTAATGTGGAGTATTTTGATCCTAAGGATAACAAGTGGAGAAATTGTACACCACTCCCTGAGGATCGGTCTGATGCTAGAGCAGTCTCAATTTGACTCGAAACCTGAGTGTGATATTACCTGCCGTTGCCGTTACAAACACCTCTTCCCTCCCAGACCAGAATGTAAGGAAGGGGTGCCCAATAAACTTAGCCCCCCTCGGGGACAAATCTAAAAAAAAAAAAAAAAAAAAAAAAAATTCTGATGGGATTACATTTTATTCCACAGGCTCACCGTGTAATACTGTCGGCGGGAAGCGAATATTTTATGGCCATGTTTACTTGTGGATTAGCTGAGAAAACAACACAGTCAATAGAAATGAAGTCTATGAAACCCAATATATTAAAACTGCTCATCGAATTCATATATACTGGTAAGGGTATGGATAAAGAAAAAAATATAACATTTTAAGTTTTCATAGTGCTATATGTATAACGGTAGTTATTATTTTGTTATTGAATTGATTAATGAATGAAACTTTTTATTTTTTTTTAAATACTTTAGGAAACATCGAGTTAACAGTGGAAAACGTACAGGAGTTAATTGCGGCTGCAAACATGCTGATAATGCCCCGTGCTGTACTTGTTTGTACAGACTTTCTCAAGAGCAAACTTCATCCATCCAATGCTTTAGGAATTTACCGGTACGTACAGTATAATAATTAATTATTTTCAACTGTTTATATGTATTTTTATCTGCACCTATACGTAACTAATTCCATATTTATTTTTTTTAAAAACAGGTTTGCTGAGGCCCATAATTTAGTAAGGTTGCTGCATTCTTCACGGGACTTCATCTTCTCCAATTTCGTAGAAGTGACAATGGAGCAAGAATTTCTTGACATTCCAAAAGAAATTCTACTGTATTTTCTTGAGTCAGAGAATCTTCATATTGACTCTGAGTTTCAGGTAAAATAAAAATTTTTATTTAATATTACAACTTTAACTTACTTGAAAGTTTACCGACTGACTTTTATTTACAAAAATTTTAACCTCAAACTATCAAATTTATTTTTCTCTATTATTTATTGCAGGTATTCTCTGCTGCCATCAGATGGATTACACAAGCACAAGATATAACTAATAGATATTGTTGTTGGAATTTTGACATTTTAAAACGACTGAAATTGTCTTTAGTTTCAAGTAAACTAATAGAAAAATCAATTAATGAGTGCTCCGCTGATATCAGATTGAAGGTTAACCTTAAACAGCAGACAAACTTGGCCAAAAGGGAAGCCTTGTATGTCCAGCCAAGAATTTGTACTCGAAAGAAAATTTATGTCATAGGTGGATCAAAGAAAGAAAGATCAAATAAGAAGTTATATTTAAAAAAAGTGTCGAATGCTTTGATATCTTTAGGCAGAAATGGCAGGAAGTTTGCCCCATGATAATTGTGAGAAGTTCTCCAGGAATAGCAGTCTTACATGGAAAAATTTTCGTTGTTGGAGGGGTTGGAAAGGAGAGTCAGATTTTGACAAGTGGCGAAGTTTATGATCCACAGGAAGATGATTGGACTGGAATATCTTCTATGGTGATCCCACGGTGTGATTTTGGATTATGCGCTCATGGAGGTTACCTCTATGCCTTCTGTGGTTGTTCGGGATCGG